GAATATCAGTTTATCAAAATATTACGAGCAATAATAACATATTAATTAAGCATCTGAATTTTGAAACAGTAATATAGTAATACATCAAAGGTAATTAAGCAAAAATTTCAAGAAAGAACAAGTATAAATGTTGACTTGACTTAAAAAGTATTGCATAGGATAATGGTAAACTCTTTTGTAAATAATTGATAAAACGGAGAAAAAATGAACACGAGTCTTTATAAATACGGGTCTTTATACGAATAGTGAAGAGAATAATCTTAAACCATCAACAAAATTGTGTAATCATCGATCGAACAACTTATATTACAAGAAGATGGCTACACGGCAGCCGCATGACACCATGGCCGTACGGAACGGAGGTACCAAAATTAATTACTATAGTATTTGTTTTTAATTAGCTGATTTTTTTTATTGAACTTTGATTACATATTTGGTGCTTTGATCCCAACCAATTTTTTGTGGAACGGATTTTTTTGGTGCTTTAGATTTGTACCACAACTTCTTGATCTAGATCTGTGGCCTTTGGATGGATATGTAGCCTTCGGATTTCAGATATCTACCCAACAAAAAAAAATTTTTGAACAAAATGCTAAAAGCACCCACAATGGTTGGTTTCTTCTTGAACATAATATTAATGTTTTCAATTTAGTTTAATTATAGAATTAAATATTAAGCAATAAAAAAATCTAAACAAATGATATAATAACAAATGTTAGTTGACTTTCTTAAAACATTCTCATAGTTTCTTCATGAAGAACTCTCATCTTTCTATTTCTACCTTTTACCAATATTTATTATATTTTGTCACAAGAAACTCATTAAGAACTCACCTTTGTGGGTGCTCTAACTTTCTTATATATATATATATGAAATAGCTTTTCTAGATAATATTTTTGAAAATAAACCAGATATATTATAAATTAAAATATAACTTTAATTGATGTATAATATACTTAATGGACCTGAATCCTTCCCTTGAAATTATGATATCAAGATATGATTTCTTCATATTTGAATTTTCACTATCCCAATCAGAATCTATAATTTTAGATCGTAATTTTGGGAGTACATTTGGGATCAATATGGTTTAACTTATGTTTTATGATAAATTAAAATAACTCTAAAATGAAGTTAATCAATTAACCCTTCACTTCTTTTTGTTACTTCAAAGAAAAAAAATAGCTAATCCGTAATTTCATTTTTTATGTATTTTTACTGTATTTAACCAAACCTTAAAATTGTGATATCAAGATCAATTTTTTTTTTCTCAAACAAAAAAATATCGGGTGATTTTTTTTTTTCAAATCTTAATATCTAAATATCTAAAAATCAGAATCTTAATATTTAAAATCGTAATACTGTATTTTTTTTTTCAAATCTTAGATTTTACTATGGGCAACAATAACCAAAAAAAAAATTATATTAGCAATCTAATGAAAATAGCATGATGTGGAAAAATGGAAACCATTAGATTATGACCATTTGGTTAGTTAGTGAAATATATTTTTTTAAGGTTATTTAGTCAATTTTCCTTTTACTATCCCAATCGAAAAATATAGAAACTTAATTTTTTAGAACAAATATCAGAACAATATGATCTCACTTATGTTTTACAATAAACTAAAGTAACTCAAAAAGAAAGTTCAAATTCTCAGTTTTTCCTTGCACGAGGAAGTTCGACATGGTTACATAATTTAATTGCAAGTGAAACTTATTGTTAGCAATTTTAGTTCCATTATCATAGGGTGCGATCGATGCTCTGTTTTTCATTTTTGTGTTTCGCATATGGTTGTCTTGCATTGTTGTTTCGCAGTAAAATCTTTAAAAAAATACTTCACACTCTTAAAAAAAAACTCTCCACTATCCCTTCACTTCGTTTTATTACTTCAAAATTTCAAATGAATATACAAGTTATCTTTTTATCCCCGTTTTATTATTAATTTTGAATGATACTCTTTTATTTTTCAAAGTTACCCACTTATTTCAGCAAAATCACGACTTTATAGAAATTAAATGTTTTATCATATAAATATAATCTCATTACAGCAAACAACCAGAAAAATAAGAAAACCTAAGTAAATAAAAGTTATATGGAACATTTACAAAAATATCACTTTTTGTGTCAACATTTAAAAAAATGCTACTTTTGGTGTCTATTTGCAAAAATGCCACTAATTATGATTTTTTAGAGCCTAAATCTTAAAATTCTAAACTCTAAAAAATATTTAGACCCCTAAAACCCCTTAAACCCTCAAACTAAACTCTAATACAACATAGTTAACCCAAACATAAATGATATAATGAATTAATAATTTTGAAAAAAGTGGCAATTTTGCAAATATTGTAAAAAGTGGCATTTTTTTAAAGTGGCACTTGAAAAGTGGCATTTTTTGAAATTTTTCAAGTTGGGTTTCAAATGTTTAGCTAAATTAACTAAGTAATTTATTTATTTATCATTTGAAGTATATAATAAAAACATATAAAATACAACATTGTTTATATAAAAAATAAATTTACTGTATTTTATATATTATTTATCTAAACTTTGTACATTATAATCCTAATAAAAACAAACAATCTACAGGTCGACCATCCTCCCTTGAAGAACCTCGGATGAGGACGCGTCGTTCCCATCATCAAAGACCGATCGTTCCAATAGGAGAACCTCGAGTGACTACGCGTCGTCCCCATCCTCAAGAAACGAACGTTCCAGCTAGAGTTAAAAACTATCATGTGCCAGTCTCTCGTGGGGAGACTCGGGTGATCACAAGTCGTTCCGATCAGCGGAGAGCGATCATTCCAGCTAGAGTTGTTGATTTTCATGTGCCAGTGTCTCGTGTAGAACCTCGGATGCCAACGCGTCGTTCCCATTCCCAAGGAACGACCGCTGCAACCGGAGTTAGAGGCATTCAGGTGCCAGTGTTCCGTGAGGAAACTCGAGTGACAGTGCGTCGTTCCCAAACGACTGTTGTAGCTGGAGTTGAAGATCTTATGGTGAAGTTCAATACTCTTCAGATTGACTACAGGTTGAAATCTGCACAAGATGTGATTTTGCGTTCTGAGCTCGGGATTC